ATAATATTTCAACTTCTGTGCTACCCAAGTCAGGGCGCAACATGTCCTTTCTAGGGGAGTATACTTAACCTCATAAGATGTGAACTTCTTGCTGAGATAGTAGATGGCTTGCTCTTTCCGTCCAGTGATGTCATGTTGACCCAACACACAACCAAATGAATTATCCAAGACTGTCAAATACAGAATCAAAGGTCTCCCGGGTTCTGGCGGAACCAACACAGGTGGGTTCGATAAGTACTCTTTGATCCTATCGAACGTTTTCTGGCACTCATCAGTCCATTTGACCGCAGCATCCTTCTTTAGAAGCTTAAAGATGGGCTCACAAGTTGTCGTGAGTTGAGCAATAAACCTGCTGATGTAGTTCAACCTCCCTAACAGACTCATCACCTTGGTCTTGTTCTTTGGTGGTGGCAATTCTTGGATAGATTTGATCTTTGACAGATCTAACTCAATGCCCCCCGATTGACTATGAACCCAACAGCTTCCTCGATGGAACACCAAATGCGCACTTTGCAGGGTTGAGCTTAAGATTGTACCTGCGGAGCCTTTGGAAGAACTTTCTCAAATCTTTGACGTAGTCAGATTGCTTCCTGGACTTTATGATCATATCATCCACGTAAACCTCAATATCCTTGTGTATCATGTCATGGAATATGGTCGTCATTGCACTCATGTAAGTTGCCCCAGCGTTTTTCATACCAAAAGGCATGACCCAGTAGCAATATGTTCCCCATGGCGTGATGAATGCCGTTTTTTACACATCTTCCTCATCCATTAAAATCTGATGATACCCCGCATAACAATCTATAAAAGACCCAATTTCATGCTTGGCACAATTATCAATCAAAAAATGAATATTTGGCAGTGGGAAGTTGTCCTTTGGACTTGCCTTATTGAGATCACGGTAATCAACACACACTTTGGTCTTACCATCCTTCTTTGGCACAGGCACAACATTGGCTAACCACGTAGGATATCGCGTGACTCGAATGACCTTTGCATCATGTTGCTTTGTGACTTCTTCTTTAATCTTCACACTCATGTCAGTTTTGAACTTTCTCAACTTTTGCTTGATAGGAGGGAATGCTGGATCAATTGGCAATTTATGGACCACCAAATCAGTAATCAAGTCTGGCATGTCATCATATGACCATGCAAAAATATCCTCATACTCAAACAATGCTTTAATTATTTCTTCCCTGATTTGTGGTTCAAGATGGACACTTATCTTAGTTTCTCTGACATTATCTGGGTCACCTAAATTGATTGCTTCTGTATCATTCAGGTTAGGCTTGGGTTTTTCTTTAAAATGACTTAGTTCCTTACTAATCTTTTCAAAGCCCTCATCTTTATCATATTCTGATTCATCGTCACACTCTATTTCTTGGATTATTATTTCAGAATTTGATTGACTTTTAAGACTGGGCCAAAGATTCCTCATGCATGTCATGCCATTGAAACCAGCATAAAAAGAACTGTACAAAGAAGAAAAGAAAAACAAAAATAAAACTATCAGGAGTGATGGAAAGGGAAACTGCATTTCATTAAAATAAAGGATAATAAGGTTTATACATCAACAAACGGAAAATAAAAGTCTGGGTCACAACCCTGGAATGACCTATATAGAAAGGAAAACAAAACAAACTACGAAGATTCCTTCTAGGTAGGGAAAGGAGTAGCCTTCCAATTGTTAAGCTTTGCATTCGGCCCGACGAACTGCACGTCCACTTTGCTAGAACCTTCTCCAACTTCCACCATGTTCACATCATCAAACAACCTCTGGAACCTTTCAATTAACTCCTCATCAATGTCAACCACAGAACTTGGAACTGTCGTCACTAGGCATTTCCTGGCACCGGGCTTGATAAAAGACCTGGAGAGACGCGGAACATGCTTTGGAAGTGGCCACACCTTCTGCTTCAACCTTTTATCCCTTTTCACATCTGCCGCTGTAGGTTTGAATCCAAGGCTGAACGTGCCCAAATTTTCGGGAAGGGACAGTGGTTGTATGATACCTTGCAGAGATGCACCCAGACCTTTATAGGGCACAAAGCATTTTTCAGCATTTCAAAAGCCACCATGACTGATGCGGAGGCTGCCTTTGGAGTTGGAATACATTTCCCTTCTGGAACCTTCTCGACCGGCACTGTTTCAAACACTTGATAGACCCAAGGCCCTTTTGTCATCTTCAGCCTCAATGAATGGGACAGAGGCATCACTGTGAGCACATAAATTATCCTCGCCATGCACGATGATCTCCTGTCTATCCCATTCGAACTTGACCATCTGATGCAGAGTGGATGGGACTGCTTTGGCGGCATGAATTCAAGGTCGACCCAACAGCAAATTGTAAGAGACGTCTACGTCCAGCACCTGGAACTCCATGGTGAATTCCACCGGCCCTATCATCAACTCAAGCACTATATCACCATCTGAATCTTTCCCTCCACCGTTAAATCCTCGAACGCAGATGTTGTTCTTGTGAATCCTCTCATCATCCACTTTCAACTTGTTCAGAGTAGAGAGAGGGCAGATGTTTGCACTGGAACCATTGTCAACTAATACCTTGGTAACCATAGAATCTTCATATTTTACCGTAAGATAGAGAGCTCTGTTGTGTTCAGTACCTTTCACAGGCAACTCATCATCAGAGAAGGCGACCCTGTTTACCTCAAATATTTTGTTGGCAATCTTTTCCAGATGGTTTACTGAAATTTTGTCGGGAACATGAGCCTCGTTCAGAATTTTCATCAAGGCCCGACGATGCTCGTTTGAGTGGATTAACAATGACAAAAATGAAATCTGAGCAGGCGTCTTTCTCAACTACTCCACGATGGAATAATCTTGTACCTTCATTTTTCTCAAAAACTCCTCCGCCTCTTCTTCACTCACTGCTTTCTTCACTAGCACTTGGTTATCTTTGGATGTTTTAGCTTTCCTTAACTCCTCCGGGGCAAAGCATCTCCCCGAACGAGTTAGTCTCTGGGACTCATTGACTTTTTCTTTCATTTCCTTTCCCTTATAGGTCATTATCACCCGTTCATAGTTCCATGAGATGGCCTTGGTGCTGATTACCGGCAACTGGGTTACAGGCTTGATGATGACAGGATCCGTACGGGCACCCTCTACAGTTATGGTAGGCTTGTTTGCCACTCCTAGCACAATCACTTTTGATTTTTCTTGCTTCGCCGCAACATCACTTGGGGATCTTTTCTTGACTGCTACAGAGGGTTCACCGCTCATCATGCTCAACTTGTTCACTGATCTTTCAACCGTTGGTTTTTTGACTGACTTGACCTCACTGGACCGAGTCATCATGACGGTCTGTGAAGGCTTCTTGGGCTCCCCTCCCTTATGTACTATCTCGATCATTTTTATTTCCCGATGGGTTGGTAATGGGTTCTGGGTTCCTTTGGAGTTTGGACTTCAATCCGGTTTGTGTCAATGAGCTCCTGGATGGCATTTTCAAGTGCAAGCACTTCTCCGTATCATGCCCCGGAGTACCAGAACAATATTCATAGCTTACGGAGTAATCAAGATTCTTTGGAGGAGGGTTTGGAAATTTTGACTCAATAGGCCTCAGCATATCCAACCGCCTCAATCTATGGAATAAATTGGTATAAGACTCCCCCAAAGGGGTGAAGGTTTTCTTCCGCTGCAACCTCTCATTTTTGAATGCTGGATTGGGTCAGAAACTTGGACCGGCAGGGTTTTGGTAGGCTCGTGGGAGTGGGTAAGCATTTTGTGGAGCTGGGGCATGCCACTGCGCGTAGGCAGGAGGTTGGGTATATGTCTGGGCGTGGTGGACAGAAATATAAGGGCCTGGTGATGGGAAGTAATATTGGGGTAGATTATATGGGGGTTGGGTGTAGGTTCGGTGATGAGGTCGAGGCTGGGTATATTGGTGTGACGGGCCCCTGGGTCCAAACCATGATCCTGCATCAATTGTTGCCACATCTTCTTTCTTCTTCTTTCCAATCGCTCCCCCAGTACCGTTCTGAATGGCTTGGGTAGCTGCCTTGATAGCCGAGTAACTCATGATTTTGCTTGACTTAAGTCCTTCTTCCACCATGCCACCCATCTTCACTACCTCGTTAAAAGACTTGCCTATGGCCGATATCAGATGGCCAAAGTAAGTGGGCTCCAGAGCCTGCACAAAGTATTCCACCATTTCGCTCTCCTCCATCGGGGAGTTAACTCTTGCCGCTTCTTCTCTCCAGCGAAAACCATATTCTTTGAAACTTTCACTAGGCTTCTTCTCAATCTTAGTTAAAGACAAACGATCTGGAACAATCTCAATGTTGTCACTACAACAAAAAGGGGATTTATCGGCAATAAAAATTGCCGCTATATCTTTTACCGGCTATTGTTCTTTAGTCGCTGAAGCCGGGGTCAGCAAAGCCTTTAGCGGCCATTGTCACAAATGCTGGTAAACGGTATGCATAATTGCCGCTAAAAACCATAAACTTTAACGGCAATTGTTTGCGGCAATTATGAAGGCTGCTAAATCAAATCTAAAACAGCTAATTATTCTCCTTTGGCGTCCATTTGTATAGCCTCTAAATTGTAAAATAATTGCCGTTAATAGTTCGTATATTTAATGGCAATCGTGTTGTGGCAATTAGAATGGCTATATATTCCCTTTTTGCGTCTATTTTAGTGGCTAATATATTCAACTAAATTACCACTAAAAGTTAATATCTTTAGCAACAATTACTTTTTAGCAATTATAATGACTACAATATCCCTGGTGGAAATGTGTTAACTTTTCCTTTTATCGTCCATTTAAATTAGCGCTAAAAGTCACAACCTGTAATAGCAATAGTTGAGCCACCACTAATAATATTTACTACTTTCGTCCAGAATATGATCCAAACAACGAAATATATTAATATTAATTCAAAAATATGATATATCTCAATAACTCTTAAAGTAAAAGTAAGTACTAAGCAAAAATATTAATGCTACAATAACTTTAAAAATAAACTTATATTGTTTGAACCAAATAGCTAATGTCACTATATAACTAATCCTGACAAATGATAGTCTTCAAATAATTTCTGCAACTTTTTCATCATAAAGAAATCTTCCACCCGCTAAATTATCGAACATCAAATTGTATGACCTGAAATTATAAAATAACTGTGTCAAAAAATGAAATATAATGTGAAAAAAATATCTTGAAGACTCCACCACTATCAGAATTTTTTTCAATCAAGTCCTCACCTAACATTTATAAACAGTAACAACTAGATGGATTGATAATGGATGTGCAAACAAGAGAGTTTCTTTCTTTGTTACGATAGAGAAGAAACCGAAAAAAAATTAAAAGCAGAGTATTAGCTTGGAGAAGTAAAAAGAAGCTACGCCCAAGTTAATTATCAAATGTTGTAGTCGCCAAGTTCTTTTCCTTAAATATGGATACTACATTATGCTTACATGCTATTAATGAAGCTCCCAAATAGGTGACACAAAATTATGGACATTAGGCCTTGACAAAACCTTAGGCATAATCATATTGTATGTATCACAAATAGTTAAAATTAAATTTCTCTAGAAACTATAGCTAATTTAAAAATAATTATTTTATGATAAAAAACTTAAAAATAACTATAATTCCAAGAAAAGCAAATGTCTAAAATTAATAAATCAACAATAACTGTTTTCTGATAAGAACTTCAGCTCTGGTGCACTAGGCATGCCAACAAAAGTTTTCTATTAGAAACGTTTAATTTGAAAAAGCATTTCTAAACATAAGAGTATAGTTGGGTATAGGTGACATGTGATAATTAGTATTAGAGATTGAAAAAATTATTTTTGTATCAACTGAAACAAGTGTATAAAATGTAATGTTATTCAGAAATGAACTTTCTCCTATAACACTGAAGTTCAACATTTCCACAAACATAACAATAGGTAGTAGTATAAAAAGGGGATAAAAACTCTTCTTTTTCAACGAATATATTGTGTTATTCAAATTCTATGGCAAAACAACAGCACTAAATGTCTCTAAAGGCGATTCTACTACAATGTAACAAAGGTTTTAACAAGTTTCAATTTACATTACCTTATCAAAAAAGGATATTTACGAGCATCTGGTCTCAAGAAATGCAAATAATTTATGAAATTGTTGGAGGTTCAAACATACCAAACAAAGACTCAACACACTTGTTGTGATTGACTTTCGGGTTTAAGGCTATAGGTTAGTTAAACATCGCAAGAATTCAAGCATGCAAATATAAATTGATTTAAAGATAGAAAATGGTGTGCATTTGACTGAATAAATAAATAATCTTTATATTATGTGGGTACATAAGAAGGATACAATTATATTACATATATAATCACAATCATGAAAAATATTATCTTTAAAATTATTCACTACTATCACAACCTTACTACATCAACAATCATGGAAAAATATATATAAAAGCGAGAAGCATCCAAGGTAAGCCCAAATACAATAAAAAACTAATTAAAATCGAAGGTTAAAAACTCAAATAGTAGAAAAATCAAACAGTAGCGCCGAGGGATAAAGATGAATAGTACCGTGTGAAGGTTGAGTATTTTCAGCAACGCTAAGTATCCTTGATGTTTGTGATACTCCTTCATATCCACAGTTCGCGTCAGGGATCTAATAAATATTAACACGTTAGATAACAATATGTTTATATGATTAAAATATTATTAAAAATATGTAAAGCTTATCAACTCGAGTCACCTATTCACCTGAGGTTCTATTGCTATTTTGAGGCATAGATTCAATAGGAGCATATTTGCGCATAAATTGTCTCATTTGAAGTAATTTTGATTGCATCTTCTCCTGATTTTATTTCATCAGATTCATTTCTTCATTTTGTTTCTCCAAATGTTTCTCCATTTAGAGTAATATGCCTAATATTGTTGAGTCAAACTTTCAGGTAATCTAGAAATGAATTATAGAAGACCAATTTATGTAAACTTTCAATTGCTCCAAAAATTCAACAGAATTTATATATGAACCAAAAGAAGATCCATTCAAGTTACCAAAAAAAGTGATATGTTTTAAAAAGACATATGTCTTTCAGTGTCAATTAATCTACAAAGAATAGAAATAAATAAAGAAACATGAATAAAAGTGTCACGACCCCAACCCCCGGTCGTGATGGCGCCCAACACACTGCTAGGTAAGCCTGACCAATAAACAACCTTAACTCATTTCTCATGCAGTTCATTACTAGCCATCACAGTTAGTTTACCAAATCATCATATTAGAAGTCTGAAGTAAGAGTTAAACATGCGGAATTTCAAATAATAATCCTACTACATAGCCCATATAGATCCGGTGTCACAAGTCTGAGCCTCTAATACAGGTTTACCAATATAATACATATCAGTGTAGGGAATGCAGATAAAACAAAAGAATAGAAGGGAGAGATCAGGGCTGCGGACGCCATGCAGTTACCTCGATGCTCCCGGATATATGCTGCTCAACTAAAGAATCCTCACTCAGCCTCAGATGCACCTGGATCTGCACGCAAGGTGCAGGGAGTAATGTGAGTACTTTGACCCAGTGAGTAATAAACATAAATAATGGCTGAGAATAAAAATCATGGAAGAACATAGAGTAATCTATAATCCGGCAATTTAAAACAAGTAATATGGAAGCGATAGACCAATGTAATCGAAATATGAAACATACTACAACATATAAGCAGATAAGTGACATCCAAATAAAGAAATGCAACACATAGTACGGTACCCTACAGTACCCGCTGCGGCACACAACCCGATCCATTTATTTATCGTCAACGGCGCTCACTGGGGGTGTGCAAACTCCGAGAGGGGCCCCTTACGGATCAAGCGCAATATCAAGCCATCTCATGGCATCAAATCTAGGCCCTCGACCTCATATCAATATAAGTATAACACTACTACGGCGCATAGCCCGATCCCATGGTATCCCCACATCTGGCCCTTGGTCGTACTCAGTCTAGAAATCATATAAGCCCCTCGGGCATTAGTAAAACAGTAGTTCTCAGCCCAAAACATCATTTAATATATCATTTTAGTTTCAAAACCGGGAAAAAATTGGCTAAGTTGTAAAATAGTGGAAAAACGATACGACTGAGTTCAAGCAGTAAGTCAAAACAGTGAGGAAATAATGATAAAACTCCCCGGAGGGTTCAAATAGTTGACACGAAGCCCAAATACGGCAATCAGTCCAAATAATGATGACAACAAATAAGCTTCAATCAAATACGCGGTAAAATCATCACTCAGGATGGACCAAGTCACAATCTCCAATAGTAAACGACCCCACGCTCATCATTAAGCACGTGTCTCACCTCAATATAGCACTACGATGTGCAAATCTAGGGTTTCAAACCCTCAAGACATCATTTACATTCATTACTCACCTCGAACCGGCTAAAGCTCTAGCTCACTATGCCCTTGCCTCTCAAATCGGCCTCCTCGCGCGTCGAATCTGACCAAAACCAGAACGAATACGTCACAATATGCTAAGAGAACAAAGCCCAAGCGAAAACAATCGAGAAATGTCAAAAATCTCAAAATTGGCAAAACCAGAGCCCCGGGCCCACTTCTCGAAACTCAGAAATTTTCACATCATTAGATTCTTTATCATCTCACGAGTTCATACATACCAAAAGTCCTCAAATCCGACCTCAAATGGTTCTTCAAATCCCAATTTAAAATCTAAAATTCCAAGCCCTAGTTCTTCCATTTTTAGCCAAATTTCCATGAATTTCTAGGTTAATCTTACAAAAAATCACGTTTTAGGTTCATAAAACTTACCTCCAATCAATTCTCCTTGAATCCCTCTTCAATTCCCCTCAAAGAGCTCCCAAAATACTCAGCTATGGTGGAAAAATGGCTCAAAATTGCGGATGAAACAACTTAAAACATTCTGCCCAAGGGTTCTTTTCGCATCTGCGGACAAAAATCCCGCTCCTGCGGCACCGCTTCTGCGGGCACTCCTCCGCATCTGCGGAACTTCACCTAAGGTTCGAAATCCGCATCTGCGGTCAAATGGTCGCATCTGCGACTCCGCAGATGCGGTTCCTATACCGCATCTGCGATTCCTGCCTTGCCCCCTCGAAATTGCATCTGCGTCTTTCCTTCCGCATCTGGGACACCGCACCTGCGGTCCCAATTCCGCAGGTGCGGAAATACCAGAAGCAACAGACATCAGTTATCTTCTAAGTTCCAAAAATTGTCGTTAGCCATCCGAAATCACCCCAAGGCCCCCCGGGACCTCAACCAAAAGCACCAACACATCTTAAAATCTCATTCAAACTTGTTCCAATCATCAAAACACCTCGAACAACATCAAAACCATCAATTCACATCGAATTCAAGCCTAAGTTTCTAAAAACTTCCGAAATACGCTTTTGATCAAAAACCCAACCAAACCACATCCAAATGACCTGAAATTTTGCACACACATCCCAAATCACATAACAAAGCTACTGCAACTCTCGGAATTCCATTCCGACCCTTGGATCAAAATCTCACCTACCAACTAGAAATCGCCAAAATACTAACTTCGCCAATTCAAGCCTAATTCTACACCGGGCCTCCAAAACCAATTCCGATCACACTTCTAAGTCATAAATCACCTCCAGAAGCTAACCGAACCATCGGAACTCACATCCGAGCCCTCTAACTCATAAGTCAACATCCGGTTGACTTTTCCAACTTAAGCCTTCTTAAAAGAGACTAAGTGTCTCATTTCTTACCAAAATCACACCAAACGCAAACCAATCAACCCGACCACATAAAACACGAAACGAAGCATAAAGAAGCAGAAATAGGGAAAACGGAGCGGTAACTCATGAGTTGACTGGCTGGGTCGTCATATCCTCCCCAACTTAAACAAACGTTTGTCCTCGAACAAGTTAAGAAACATACCTTAAGCCTCAAACAGGTGAGGATATCTGCTCCACATCTCCCGCTCGGTCTCCCAGGTAGCCTCCTCCACGGGCCAACCTCTCCACTGTACCTTCACTGAAGCTATATCCTTTGATCTCAACTTTCGAACCTGACGACCCAAAATAGCTACTGGCTCCACATCAAAGGTCAAATTATCATCCAACTGAACCGTACTGAAGTCCAAAACATGAGACGAGTCCCCAACATACTTCTGGAGCATAGAAACATGAAATGCCAGATGCACACTCGACAAGCTGGGTGGAAAAGAAAGCATATAAACCACCTCCCCAATCCCCCTAAGTACCTAAAAAGGCCCAATGAACCGCGGACTCAACTTCCCTTTCTTTCCAAATCTCATAAAACCCTTCATGGGCGAAACCTTCAGCAAGACCTTCTCACCAACCATGTAGGATACATCTCGAAC